CACTTCTAACTAACTACAGGTGTTTGATGGAGGGTCAGCTATCACCTAAGTCACCAAGAGCAGCTAGTTTTTTTTTGCCAGACTGCTTTAATTCTACCTACAGCCAGAGAAGCTATTCCTCCAGCCTTCACTTTTTGCTTCTTGAGTTTCCTTTGTTCTTTTTGTTACTGTCTGAAAGCCTTATCTTCCTTGTCCATTTCCCTGTTCTACTTCGTGAGCTGTTTCAGGGACTTCTTTTTGCCATCTTTGTAGCAGGACATGGCATCTGCTGCCCCTGTCCCAGGCCTGCCACAGAAGGCAGAGCTCAGCCATGTTTTTTTATTCTGAATCTAGCCTAAGTCCTTTCTGTATTATAATTACTGTACATTGGTTGCTCCTGCAACTTGACGCAAAACATTTAATTGTAGTAATGTTTTATAGGCTTTTCTTTTTGCGTATTATTCTGTGCTGTTATCGATACTCTTTGTCCTTTTTAAAAATTTGGGAATGTCATTGTTGTCTGACATGGTATTATGTATCGGTTTAATAATTTTGTCATGATTCTGAATTGAGTCACTAATATTACACATGTTGTTATTAGGTGCCATTGAGTCAGTTTTGACTCTTAGCAACCCTGTCTGGGTTTTCCCGAGGCTGTAAATCTTTACAGGAACAGAAAGTCACTTATTTTTCTTGAGCGCCTGGTGGTTTTGCACTACTAACCTTGTGGTAAGCAGTCCAGTGCTCCAATAATGTACATGTTACTGCTGTTGTTAAGTGCCTTCGAGTCAGTTCTGATTTATAGAGACTCTGTCTAGGGTTTGAACTGCCAACCTTGTGGTTCACAGTCCAGTGCTTATCCTACAGTGCCACACCAGGAGTCCAGTAATGCGTATGGTGGTGCTGGTGGTTCTGTGCCGTGGAGTCCATTCTGGCTCATAGAGCCCTTGAATAGGGTTCCCAAGGCTGTAAATCTTTACAGGAGCATAGAGTGGCTGGCAGAGTTGAATTGCAATGAAATGAATTGCAACCCAATTCATAACCCCTAAACTACCAAAACTCCTTAATAATGTATATAATGTAAGGTAATGTTACACACTGTTAACTTTTTTTTTTTTAAATAAACATGGCTCTTAGCAGTTTACTGGATTTGAAAGTGGACCCCAAATGGTTCCAATATACAAGCTTTGAGGTTTTAAACTTGTGACAAGGGCACAGGCGAATTTTCTACTCATTGCAAGCAAATCCTTACTTTAGCTTTAGCGAGCCACAATCCCTTAAGACCCATGAACCTTCAGCTGGTTGTCCTTAGCCAGTCCAGTCCCATAAAGAACTGGCCTATGTATGCACTGGTCTTCCTATAGCTGAATTACTGCTCTGTATTCTAGACGCTGAATTACAGTACCATTGCAGGCAGATTTCTTCTCAAGCACCTTTACTAGTTTCTTTTTATGTAATTATCAGTGATCCTTGGGACAGTAAGGCTCTTCCTACCATTTTTTCTGTTTAATTCTTATGAGAATCAATCCCAGCAGGAAGCAGGTCATCACCCTTACTTGCATCAGCAAAGGGGTCATAACAGTGGAGGTCCTGAATAATAGACATATGATTCCTTGTCCCCAGTGGAAATGGCTTATAGAGGTCAGAGGCGGTGGTGGGAGAAGGCAGATGGTTAGGGGACAGAACTTCAGAAAGTGAGGGGGAGGTTTCTGGGTCTTTGGTGGTCGCTCAGTGACTGGTAACCTTTAAAAAAAAAAAAACAACATAATTTTTTTCAGGTAAAAAAAATTTTTTTAATCACAGAACAATAACAAGAAATTTTTCTTATTCAAAGAATTCCCATTTACCCTCCAGCCTGATTCACCTTTTGTTAACATATTTTATTACCTTTACCATTCTTTTCTTTATCTCTCTTTATTATTTTTTCTTTTGATTATTTTGAAGATACTTTGCTTCCTTACCCCTAAATATTTAGTCTTACCTAAAAAGTGCTTTTTCTTTTCTGTTTTGTTTTCATCAGGGTACTAGAGTCACATACATGTAGCCAGGATTTATTTTCTCATAGCTTTTTTTTTGTAGATGGGATTGGGTAAGGATTAAGTTTTTTTGGTGCTGGATCTACAATTTAAGTGTGATGTTTTCAATTTGTCATCAGTATTCCTCTGGGCCATTTGTTGTTGTCTTTCTTGGCTTGTTCTTTTGGCTCCCACCTCTTGTTCCTGACACACCTAGATCAAGTATGAGAGCTCAGTGCCTTCCCCTACATAATGCTGTCATTCAGAACCTGAGAATCTTTTGCTGCTACTGGCCTTTTTTTTTTTTCCCTTTTACGCTCTATGTCTTAAGGTAAACTGAGTTTCAATTGGCTCATAATGTGGGTACTAAAAACCCCACCTATCTGCCAAGCCCTTTAGGCTGCGAGCAAAGTGAAGGCTTGGTACTTGTCATTCCTTTGCAGCAGTTGAGCTGAAAGAATGTTGCATGGCTTGTTGGAGAGTGCTAACAGCTTGGCTTCAAGTGGCATGTGTATGAGGGTGTGTGTAGAGAGTGGAGGGTCTTGTAGTTGTGTGAGAAACCTGGCTTCCTTCCTGGTGTCTCATTAGTCATCAGACAGTATTTACTGAGGGCCTCCCTTTATGATGAGCACTGTGATAGGTACTTTTTGAGTGATATACTCTAATACATAATTAAGTTACACTATTAAAGTCAAACATTCTAGCTCTGCCACTTACCAGTTTTGAATTGGGCAAGTTAATGACTTTAAGCCTCATTTGACTCTTCAATAAAATGGGGTTAATAGTACCTATCTGATAGGCCTGTTATGAAGATTAAATAGAGAACTAAGTATAGTCATTAGCACAAACCTGACACGAGTTAGTGTTTCATTTCAAATAGTCGTATTTGAGATATGTGACTGACACCATATGAAACAAATAGAGCATGATAAAAAGCAAATAGGTAATAATTTGACAGTACAGTAAGTTTATAATCAAATACTTTAATTGTGACATGCAGATTATAAATAGCCTGGGCATTTAGAAAAGGGAAACAACAGTCTTGTGAAACCATTTAATATGCTTGTGCCTCAAAATTTCCACTGGGCACACTGGGGATAATGCTAGGTTATCTCCCAGAGAATAATTCAGATGTTAGAACAGTTCTGTTTTTTTAGCTGGTACTTGTGATAGGGGAAAGGAAGGGAAAAATCCTAGGAAACTATTAGAAACCAATCTTAACACTGTAGTCTTAATTTTTTTCTTATGTGCACATTGCAGCTTTATAGGAAAATTTAAAATTGGAAATTAGAAGTACTTCCACCTACGGAAGGTCCTCCCTTCAATTTCTTGTTGCTTCTCTGGCATTTTAATTAATTGAAAACTTAAGTTGATTAATGGATGACCTTTGATTATGAACTTCTGTAATGTAACCTGAGGAATAAATAATTTGTAACTCAAATGATCTGTTTGGTCCTCTGGCAAAGCAAGCAAACAGATAAATAACAGGAGATGATTTCGTTCTCTGGGTAGGGATGTAAAGTCCTGTGGTATACTCATCATGAGCGTTTCTCTGGTCTAGGACACTTTACTCAGAACTCCAGACTCCCACCTTAAACAGTCTTTCATAACCATATACATGTAAAACACTCGTAACAGTTTTTTACCCACAACATCCAAAAGAAATTGTTTCAATTCCTGGTGTGGGGTGTGCTTACTTGGTGATTATTTGGGAGTAGTGGTGTGGCGCTGAAGGATAAGCATTTGACTGCTAAAACCGCATAGTTGGCAGTTCAAACCCAACAGTTGCTCCTTGGAAACCCTCTACAGTGTCTTAAGAGTCAAAACAGATTAGATGGCACTTAACAACAATTTTAGAACTGAAAATTGGAGTCCTGGTGTGGCACTGTAGGGTAAGCACTGGACTGCTAACCATAAGGTCAGCAATTCAAATCCACCAGATGCGCCTTGGAAGCCTTATACAGGGTTGTTATGAGTTGGAACCAATTCTAAAGCACTTAATGATAACAACAATTTTGAAAGTTTATATCTGATTTTTATTCCCTTCAAGAAAATTTCAGAGAGGTTTTCCCTGAAAGTATATGTGTGTTATTATTATTTTTATTATTTTGCCTCCTTAGTTTGAATGCTTCTCTCTTTTTGGCGTTGCTATCTTTTTATTTTTTTTTCCTGTGGCATTGTTTGCCAAGGTTTCAAGTTTATAGTAAGAGGTGAGGCAACGTTGATCTTGGCAGAACAGCACAAAGCCAGTAGAGTCATTAAGTGACGTAAGCTTTGGAATTTTTTTGACCCTTCTTTCTGTTAAAACTCTGGCACGGCTCACAGCTGTCTATTCTAGTCACAGAAGAAAAGAGAAGAGGCTTCGGAATATCTAGATGGGATGGATGGTAGAAGTTTGGACACATTATAAAACAGCAACAACACCAACAAAGCTCCATATAATTCAAAAAGGCTTCTTGATCTTGGGGAATCTTTGGCAGTAGCTCAGAACTAGAGTTACCCTTTTTACTCAGATGATAATGGGACAAGGCAATAGAGGGCGAGAAGGGTTTTGTGTGAGTCCGACTTATCTGTCTGCCTCTCCTTCTAGCTGGGAAAATCTTCACTCCAGAAGAAGCATTAAAAGCAAGCATGAAGAGCACATCTTATCCTGATCCTGGATGCTGTTGGAGTTAAGGATTACAGCCACTTCACCAGGATTTTGTGGAGACAATTCAAGAAAAATAGAAGGAAACAATACTTAAGGATTTCTCTGCATTTACATTTTAGACATCAGTTGGAATAAGAGAAGAACAGCTCTGTACTCTGGATCTAAGGGAATACTTGAGCCCCTTCAGCTATATGCATGATGTTTGCAAGATTATAAACTCAGAATCTTTCAACATAAACTCATTAAATTCTGTATATTCTTTCTGTTGAGGATTTGAGCAGAAAAAAAAAACCCCCAGACTTCCAACCCCAAAGATACAAACCTTCTTTGTGTTTTCAGGCTAAATGTGAACAATAATGTCTTGGAAGAGAAATTATTTTTCAGGGGGTCGTGGTAGTGTCCAAGGGATGTTTACACCTCGAAGTTCAACTTCCATAGCCCCCAGCAAAGGTCTCAGCAATGAGCCAGGACAAAACAGCTGCTTCCTCAATAGTGCCCTGCAGGTAAGGGGAATTTTTTTCTTTCTTGGTGAACTTTGACTTTCAGTTTTGATGCTGTATGTCTGATGAGCTCTTCTAAATATAATACTTGACAGTCCTTAAGGACAGCAACCTTATATTGGTTTTTTTTTTAAAGTTACTCTGTGTATTTGTGAAAAGAAGAGTAGTAATAATAATGGAAATATAATAGCTATAGCGACTCATAATCACTTGCCTAAAGGGTAATCTTTACTTGACCGAGGTAATCTTTTTACCTGTTCATTGACTGTTTTCCTACTTTTTACTACACTTTTTTTTTTTTTCATCTTAGACAAAGGTGTTTTATCACTCTGGCTGGTTTTCTGTAGTATGGTTGTGTGCAGTCGAGTCAGATCTGAATTATAGTGACCCTCTATCAGGCTTCCAGCATACACGGTGGCTTAATACAATAAGCGTTTTGACTGTGAACCACAAAGTTTGCAGTTCAATCCCACCAGCCATTCTGCAGAAGAAAGATGAGACTTTATGCTCCTAAGAAGATTTAAGCTTCAAAAACACTATATAGTGTCGCTATGAGTCAGAACCAACTTGTTGATACTTAGTAAGAACAGCAAGAGGGTTTCCAAGTCAACTGGTTGACAACTAAAAACAAAGTGATTATCTACCCAAGATTCTTCCTTTTTGGTGTTTCTTGCCACCTCAGTGGTCTGAGAATCCCAAAGCTAGATTGTCTTTCTGCTATGCCTAGTTAGGTGAATAAGCGGTTAAACTCATCCTCCCTTGACCTCAGCTTCACGTAATTTGGTTCCTTTCTTTTATGCTTTTCAGATTAAAAGTAAGTGAAGTTCACAACCAAAGAGAATAATTATATTTGGATGAAATATTAATTTTTCTCCTTAGATGGATTGAGAAAATATGAGTAGGTTCATAGGAGAGGAGAAGACGAAACCGTGTTTTTGATTTAAAGAACACCAAGACTACTGGATTCTAGACCTTTCTATAGAGCAGCCTTGGGACCTTGTACAAGTTGTTGTGTTTCAGTCTCCTCATTTGTAAACATGGATTTTGACACTTACCTAATAAAAATTTCTTACTTTTCAAGATTTTGCTTGAAAGCATTAAAAATCCTAAATGCTAACACAAATTTCATGCAGTTGGGATGCGGTTGATTAGGTTTATTCCAGATGACACATAACTAAGTTTTGAATGACTATGCATGTACTGAAGTCCCGCTGTGGTGCTGTGGGATAAGCACTGGACTAAAGCAGCAAAGTCTGAGGTTCAAACCCACAAGCCGCTCCTTGGAAACCCTATACAGGGTCAGTATGAGTTGGAACTGACTCAATAGCAGTTAACAACAACATGCAAGTACTGATCATTATATTTGCAGTTTAGGAGCAGAGAATAAGGTGTTGATGAATGTGTGTTTTACCACCTTCTTGGTCATTGTCATGTTTTTGTAATTCTGCTTCTTCCTGTATATTCTAATGATATTTTACACAGAATACAATAGTTATGGCTGTATCTTCTGAATTCTGTTGCCATATGTAACACATCACACACACGTTTCTTTAATCACTTAAGAATAGAGACACTGATGGTTTTAGAGTGCCTATTATAATCAAGTTGAAAAGAATTTTTGCTATAATCCAGAGCTATAAATTTTAATATGAAAGCTGTGTTGAACCCGTTACATTCATTATAAAAAGATGCTGTTTACATTGGAATATAGCATGTTTCAAGGAACTTTTAGAATGTGTAACTTGAGACACAAAAGAGGTTCCAGAGATGTGCTCTGATCTGGGGCACGCAGGTAGTGCTGTTTCATATATGAGAGGTCTTCAAAAAGTTTGTGGACATTAACATTTTTGTCCATGAATTTTTTGAAGTCCCTTCATATGATGCAAGTAAACATTTCCCAGGCAGGAGGAGCTTCTCTAGACTTTTTTTTTAACTCTCTAATTGTGAATTGAATGAATGCATCAGTTTTACATTCAACAATTCATAGACTTTTCGTCTCAGTGATTACAATCCTACCATGTAATAGCAGTTATCCCACTTCCTCCCTGTTGTTCCTGTTTCCATTCTATCCTCCTTCCTATCCCTTCTCAACTTTTTCCTTAGGTAAATGTTGCCCCTTTGATCTTAAATAGTTGTCAATTCCATGGTGAGCATACCTTACTAGTGTTTTTGTCCTGCCTGTATACCTATCTACTGCTTAACTAAAAATTGAGCCACGATTTGAAATCCATTCCAGACCTAAAGGGGGTGGTCAAGGGCCACACTCTTGGGTTCCTCCAGTGTCTTTGTGACCAGTAAACATGGCCTATTTTTTTTTTAAATCACTTTAAATTTTGTTCCACATTTTCTCCCATTCTATCTGGGACCTTCTAACATTGCAATCCCTTACAGTGCAGTTGGTAGTGATAGCTAGCTACTATCTAATTTGTTCTTCTGGTCTAGTTTTTTACCTAAAGCTCTTTTCTGTTCCAGAATCTCATCCAGGACCCTGTATTATCATGGCTTTTGGAGCCCTGGTAGTGTAGCGAGTTACAAGTTGGGCTGTTAACCGCAAGTTTGGGGTTACTAACCACAAAGTCAGCAATTCGAATCTACCAGCTGTTCCACAGGAGAGAGTTGAGACTTTCTGCTGTGGAAACTTTGTACAGGGTTGCTATGAGTCAGAACAGACTTGATGGCACACAACCACCACCACCACCACGTCTATGAGTTCTTTGGCTTTGGTCATTTTCCAGAATTTTCTTGTTTTTGATGACCTTACCAGTTTGGAGAAGTGCTGGTCAAGTATTTTGTAGGATGCTCCTCCACTGAAATTTGCCTGATGTTTTTCTCATCATTAGACTTGGGTTATGAATTTTGGAGGGAGGACGACCACAGAAGAAAAACTACTGTTCTCATCATATTTTCAACATGCATACTCTCAGTATGATTTATCACTGTTAGTATTTCCATTGTGTGCTTTTTTGATCCTGTTGACTTAAGAAAGCCATAACTTGGAGAAAAGTCCAGAATTTGACAAATCTAACAAAGACAAAATTCCATACTATGGTTCAAGATTCTAATACAACTTTTTTAAAAAAAATATTCTTATGTAGTTTATATTAACCATTGAAATAAACCCTTATTCTGCAGCTTTTTAAGCCACAGATGTCCTCTTTAGGATCATGTTTTATATATGTAATTTGTATTTTTTTAAATGATATTTATTTAATATTCAAATTAATGTACTTTAGGAATATCATTCTTTATCTCTCTTGTTAGACCCTTCACCTTTTTTGACATTTATTTCAATATACTAGAATGAGTTTTCTCTTGGGGCAAAAAGCATCTTCTTGGTAGTGATTTAATTTAAAATTAAATGGTGGTTCTTTATAGACTAATGCAGTATTTTCCTTTTGTCACCAGGTTTTGTGGCACTTGGACATCTTCCGGCGTAGCTTTAGGCAGCTCACAACTCATAAGTGTATGGGAGATTCCTGTATCTTTTGTGCACTCAAGGTAGGTTCTTCAAATTTGTTTCTTCTTACTACCTTTAGGTTGTCAAATGACTAATATTGAAGTGGCCTGGTTAATCAAGGAGATATGAGAGAATTTGTTGTTGAATTATCGTCATATCATTTAGTGTAAAAGATGAATACAATGCATTTTTCTTGCTTTAAAGAATTACTATGTGGCTCTAGTAGTGTTTTTCTGAACATTTTTTGCCCTACAGTGCTTTATAATGTGATAGGATACCATTCAAGCATTATTCTATTTTGGGTGTTTATCTGAAAAATGAATTCTGAATTTTCATTTGAAAGAAATACATGACTTAAGTATTTTTAATAAGTTTGACTGTTAAAGCTAAGTTTAGCAACAACCTCTTCCAGTTAAGAAATGCCAACACTAATTAATTTTCTATTGCCATACTTTTTGTTTGTATCTACTCCATACTTTCCTATCCCATGTATTGTCTGGCTCCAAGTTTTCTATTTCCTAATAAAATGAAACTGGAGTAAAAGAAATGGCCTAAAATGGGATACTTCTGACTCAGAGATTTTAGGTATGCTGTTTAAGAAAAAAAAATTAAAATGTGTAAAAGTTCTATTCTCAATTACATTATCTGTTTGTTTTTTTTTCCAAAATGATGGAAAAGCATGCTTATGTTTTCTTGGTCCAAATGTACAGTGAATTATTTGTGGTTGGATACGTCTTTCCTGAGTTCTGGGTGAGTTTCCAGAGTCCGTTTTCAGTCTCATGAAGTCTGGATTCTTAGCTCATCATAGAGACGCTTAGAGCTGATCAGTATATGGTCTGTTTAGTTTTGTTTACATCTTAGAGAAGAAATTGTGGCCAGGCAATCCAGGAAAATTTCCCAGTTATATCAGTTACTTGGAACAACTTATTCAAAAAAATATTTTGAGCAACAGCACTCTGACATTTTAGGTTCATGATAGGCAAATATTTTTAGGAAGAGATCCTTGAGTCCTCTGATTCTTTTTTCTCCCCCACCTGGATCCCAAATAGACTTTTTCCTGCTCTTCCTTTGGAATCACTGTAACTTTTAACATAGAATATAAATTATTGTTTAATTGAGAAGTTTTAAGTATCAAATTTAAAGAGTACAAAATCTTTTACAAGTTGATTGTAACATTTCTGACTATTTCCGTTGAGACAGAAGACCATCTAAAAGAGCATTTGACCTAATTTTATAAAAGGTACATTGACATTAATTATCTAATATTATATAAACAAAACATACAGTAGCCTCTTTGTCAACAAGTCCGAGGAAACTCTGGTCCATGGCATTAAAACCAGAATACCAATGTAAGATATTTGATAAGGAGATGTGAATTCTAAAGAAATTCCTGTTGTTGTTGTTAAGTGCTGTTGAGTCAGTTCTAACTCATGTTGTTGTTAAGTACTGTCGAGTCGGTTCTGACTCATAGCAAGCAAGACCCTGAATAATGTTTCTGAGGAGCAGCTGTTGGGTTTGAACTACCAACCTTGTGGTGCGTAGTCCAGTGCTGATCCTATAGCTCCACACCAGGATTCCAAATCATAGGAACCCTTTATAGGGTTTCCAAGGCTGTTAATCTTTACGGGAGCAGCAAGCCTCATCTTTCTCCCACAGAGAAATCTTGGTAGAATAATCTAAAACTAGCATCTCTTATCTGTACCAGGAGGGGAAGGTAGAACTTACAAGACCCCTGGCATGCTTTTGACAAGTCAGGACTGAGCCATATTCTTCACTAATCTAGGTGGGGCTCTGGAGAACTGGTTGTCACTCTCTTGGAGTTATGTTTCATATTTCTGAGGAATAAAGGATTACTTTTATATAAATCAATCTCACTATATAACATAATAAGCCAGAGAGATGAAGAAAGTCAATAGCCAGATTTCCCAAGAACAGAGGGAAGTTGTTTTTCACCCTGTTGTTGTTCTTGTTGTTAAGTATCATGTCAGTTCTGACTCTTAGCAACCCTATAGGGTCTCTGAAGAGCAGTTGTTGGGTTTGAACTTCCATTCTTATAATTAGCAGTCAAGTGTTTATCTTACACAGTGATACAGGATTCCTTCATCCTTTTAGGGCTGAGGAAATCTAGGGCCTTTTCAGAGAAGCAGTTGCTTGTGATGGATAGATCAATGAGTTTTGGTCATCAAAAGCTTTATTTTGTATCTTAATAATTCTGGCAATTTGTTGGAATTAAGGTGCTCTCCTCATCACATGACCTGATCTAACCCTTAATTTTATTTTCTTTTACTGTCTTTTTTTTTT